AGTAAGGGAGGGGCCTGTTGCAGTAGGGGGAGGGGCCTGTTGCAGTATCAAGAATGCTCTGAGCATGAGTTTGCAGGCGTCTCAAGGTTTAGGCAGAAAGGATTTTTCTTTCCTAAGGAGAAGTAAACAAGGCTAGAAAGAGCCAGTGGTGGGAAAAGTGGGATGAAGGGTGGCCTGGTTGGCTGGGAGATCAGAGAAGGGCTTCTCCGGAGCCCAGCCGATTCTCATGGGGTCTGCCTGCTGCTCCAGCTGAGGATAAGCCAGAGTTCAGGGGAGAGGGTCTGAACCAAACTGTGGATAACAAGTTTTCGGTTCCGATTGATCAGGGAGGACAAACATTCAGCTAATCATTTACGAGGCGGAGATGGGGATGTGCAGGGTCTGGTGTTGCCGTAGGGAAACAAGGGCTGTGTCCGTGAATCCGTCCAAGTCACGTGGGGTGGGGTCTCAAGGGAAGCCTTTTCTCCAGGCCAAAAGACAGGTGTTCCTTAACTTTCTGTAAAGTTCCACATTGTCATTAAATTATTTCCAGGCCTGAAAGGATTTTAGAATCTTGTTTAAGCCCTTCCTTTTACAAATGAAGAAACTGAGGCCCAGAAGGGTTTTTCCACCGAATTTATACAAGTGGTTAAAGGCAAAAGGAAGCCCACGCTGGAAGGCTCCTGACACTCAGTACTGTTCTTTGAAACTTTGTGAAGATGCATACAGAGTTACGGCGAGATTCAAATGAGATACGTTTAAAGATTCTTTGGTAAGTTGAAAGCAAGACATGAACTAAGCCTGTAACATCTGACCGGGACACTCACTCCCCATCTTGGCACCCGACCGCCCTCACTCTGCTCCTCTTCTTCCCGAGCTCTTACGTTCTAACATACTTGATTTACTTACTGTGTTCATTTATTGTCTGTCTCTCTGCACCAAAATACAAGGTCCATGAGAGAAGAGATTTTGCTTTTCTATTCTTTTTTTTTTTTTTTTTTGGTGGTACGCGAGCCTCTCACTGCTGTGGCCTCTCCCGTTGTGGAGCACAGGCTCCGGACATGCAGGCTCAGCGGCCATGGCTCACGGGCCCAGCCGCTCCGCGGCATGTGGGATCTTCCCGGACCTGCATCGATCGGCAGGCGGACTCCCAACCACTGCGCCACCAGGGAAGCCCTGATTTTCTATTCTGTTTACTAACATATCTTTAGAGCCTAGAATGGTTCTTGGAGATTAGACACTCAGTAAATATTTATTGAATAATCAATAAGCCCAGGGAGTCTTGAGATAAAAACCTCTTCAGCATCAGCTGTTTGGTGGGTATATTCAGTCATTCAGCAAATATTTATGGGAAGGCTTCAGAGCTGCAAGTGTTCTTTCAGGAACTGGCAGTCTAGTGGATCCTGCTGACATTCCAGTGGGGAAGCTAGCTCACCAGCTAGTAACTGATGAACTAGTAAAATCTCTGAGAGTGACCCGAACAGTGCAGAGGATCAAATAAGGGGGCGTCCAGCTTGGACTGGGGGTCAGGGCAGAGCCCTCTGCAGGTAACATTTAGGACAGGAAGGCAGCCACGTAAACCAGCAAGAAAAACACTCCAGGGAACAGCCCAGGAGAATTAGGTTTTCCTGGGATTTACATTTGCGTAGTGCTTTGTCTATGCTCTTTCATCAATATCACCTTGATACTGAGCCTCTAAGGGTTAGGTTTTTGTTATACAGTGTCTGGCTTATTAGAAAGGGCTTTAAAGTTTGTCTCTAGTCTAGAGGCATCCTTTCTGTCTATCTGAGTAGGGAAGAGAAGAGCTAACCTTTGGAATTTCTCTTTTAAGTTTCATGAAAACCTAGGTTTCTAATGAATAACAAGGAATGGCAATGAATTGATAAAGGCAGACCTGATATATAAATGGTGTTTTCCATTTATATATCTCTTCAGTGTATGGTTAGAAAACATAACATATGATCTGTACTTACTGTGATGTTGGAGAGAGGTAGATTGGTCATATCTTATAGATTCAAAATAAACCTGCCTTAATGATGATATCTATTTAAATTTTTAAGTATATATTCTGTCTGTAGAGAAAGAAAGGGAGAATTGAAATTGGTTTTAATGACAATGTCAGGAAGAGGTTGAATCAGTTGACACATAAATGAGACTGTCACTAAAAACATGTTCAAAGGAACTTCAAGATAATAAGAATGTTCATTTTAAAAGCCTTTTTGTTTAGTGTCAAGATAGAACGGAATAATATCTTTTAAAAAGCTATACTTTATTTTCTGCCTGCATATTTGTCACATGTAAACCTGGACCTTTTAATAAAACATTTATAACTATATAAAACAGATTGATCGATACAGTGAAACCTGATTCCTGTGGAATCCCTGAGTAGCCACTGACAGGTCTGAACAATGATTTTTTAAAATTTCATTTTATTTATGAATTAAAAAAATAAATTTTTTTACTTTAAAAATCTTTTGGCGATGCCTCGCGGTATGGGTGATCTTATTTCCCCGACCAGGATTCCTCTTGCAGTGGAAGCGCAGAGTCTTAACCACTGGGCCGCCAGGGAAGTCCCTGAACAATGATTTTTAAGTTAGGTCTGCAATGATGTATCTGAGACACTGTCAGAAAAATTCCTTTACCTGTTCATCAAGTATTTGTTGGGTGCCTACTGTGTACTGTACCTGGGGATACAGAAATCAAGGCTCCGATCCCTGCCCTAAGAAAGCTCACCGTTCTAGGCCAGCAAATAACATGGGACTTGTTAAGTGCTATGCCATCATGAAAAGTGATGTGTGAGCATGTGATCCCATGAAAACGCCCAGCGGTGCTGCAAGCTGGACCTCTGTCTCCACACCGGGTGAAGCTCCAGTGCCCACCGACGGGGCCCGCGCTCAGCCCAAGACCTGGGCTACCCTCTCCCGCGGGTCCTGGGCTCACCTAGGACGAAAGCAATGGGATGCAGTGTGTGAAGACTTCTAACCATGTCAGTGAAACAAGAAGAACTTGCAGGACTGCCAGAATTAATACAAAGAATTAAAAATTGCATACACCTATTTATGGTTTTATTTATAATGAAAGTGTCTGTGTTTTTAAGAAGACACACAATCACTCTTTCCGCCTCTCCTCTACCCTTTACCTCTTCCTCCATTACCCTTTTTCTCCCTGTATTTTTGCATCGTTCAGGCCTTTGTGGAGTTTGGATAACATTTGTTGTATGATTTTCATTCCACCTTACAATGAATTTTCTACATTTTGCAAAGAGTCAAAATCCCGATCCCTGGGAGTTTGCCTCTCCTGTTTCCTGTGGCCTCTTTCGGTGAATACTTGCTAGTGCTGAAAGCCTTAAATAAACAAAGCCAATGTTTTGAGATGAGCCCATTTCAGGAGATGTGCTTGCACATCTGTGACCTGCCCCTGGGCTCCGACAGACATCACTGGGTTCTTAAGGACATTTTCCAGCAGAAAGGAAACCAGTATTGAGTTGATCTACATCCTTTGTTTCATCAGATTAAAATGCAGTGCGTGCTCACACAGCTTTAAACAAATTTGGTGAATAAAACCCAGACTTCCCAAACAGATGTCATGTGTTTGAATATTTCCTATACAGAGACTGCTCTAAAAGTTTGCATTTGCTTTCTCCTCCTTGCAATCCGTGGCCCATATTATTCCTTGAAATGATCTTTCAAAACCCAGATCTGATGCTTACTGTTTTCCCAAGCCTCCCCTTTCCTTACCAACCAAACCTCTGAACTGGATCGGAAAGTTCCTTTCAGCCGAACCCCAGCTCAGTTCTTCAGTAGAATTCCTCTTTCCCCAGGTGACGTCCAATCCTTCTGCCTCAGGGACCAGCCATGCCGGGTGGGTCACCCTCAGCACACTGCAGCCCCTCCTGAGTTTCCTGCGGGTCCTGCCCCAGGCTGCCTGTCTGGCCCGGTCTGGACGGGGCCGGGGGACCGTGAGATCTGGGAAGCAGACGTGTGCCGTGAGGTAAGGAGGAATCCCTGGGGGTCAGCACCTCTGTGGTGGTTTCAGCTAGAGCTGTGATGTTCAACCTGGTCCCGGGTCAGCAGGGTCGGCCTCACTTGGGGGCTGTCAGGGAAGCAACCCCGGGCCTACTGCTCAGGAGCTCTGGGGTGGACCTGGAGCCCCGTGTCTTGCCCCCCAGGTCATTCCGGGGCCGGCTGTCTCAGGGAGGAGAGTGTGACGGTGCGCATCTTGTGGCTTAGGGCCCTCCCCCTGGATTGCACACATTCCATCTGTGCTTGTGGAGTTACCGAGTCCCTCTAGGTACGCAGGGCACGACCGTGAACAGAGTCCCTGTGTGCCTGTATTCTAGGTGGGAGGTGGGGAGATGGGGGACCAGACACGAACATGTAAAACAGTTAGAACAGTTTCACAGTAACGCCAGTGCTCTGAATGAAATGAAACAGTGTGAGAGGAAGGGAGGGAGGGAGAGGTGATGTGACTCTCCGAGGGGGGGCATCTGAATGAACCCGAGGACCAGGCCCCCCGTGTTGGCCTGGAGCAGCTGTCTCGCCTGGGGCTGTGGCTCAAGGTTGCTGGGTTTCTGACTCAGTAGGGCTGGGGTGGGACCCCAGCACGTGCTGCGTTGCTGACAAGTTCCCAGGAGGGGCGATTGCTGCCGGCTGGGGACGTGTTTTGGAAACTTTTGGTCTAGAGAGAACATTCCAGAAAGAGGGCACCGCAAGCATTAAGACTGGGACTTGGGAGGTGAGACAGGCCTAGTGGATGTGATGGTTGGGATAAAGGAAAGTTACTGGTGGGGTGAGGCAGGAGAGGAACATGGTCTCATCCGCACTCGTGAAGTATCGGTCTGGCTGGGTTTGCCGTGGAAGAATGATTTGGGGGCAGAGGTGGGAGCAGGGAGATGGTTCGGAGGCCAGGGTAGCGGCGGCCTGGACCGGGCGACAGCGATGGGGAGCGGAGAGCAGTGGGAGGGTTGGGGATGCACTCGGAGGCGGCGCTGGCAGCACGTGCTGGCGGGCTGGAGTGGGGATAGGTGACAGGAAGAGAGCAGCGAGCAGGGCTCCTCGCTCAACAGCTGGGCAGACGGTGATGTGACTTACGGGACCAGGAAGACTGGGGCCATAGCAGGTCGGGTGGGGTGGAGAACAGAGCGTTCTGTTCCGATACATCATGGTCTAGAGGAGGCTGAGACGTTCCCGGTGGGACTGTCAAGGTGCCGGTGGGTAGGTGAGTCTGAAACTCAGGGAGCTGTGCAGGGCTGAGGACATAGTTTGGGGAGTCATCGATCAAAAGGTGCTGATTGATTGAAATCCCCAACCTGGCTTGGATATCCGAGAAGTTATTAGCGCTCCCGGGTGTGTCTCAGTTCCCAAATTCTCGGTCTCCTCCCTGCCCTGCCCTGGCTTCTTCCTCCTGAAGTGGGGCTGGGCTGCCCCCCACCCGCTGCATCGCTGGCTCCTGCTAGGAAAGAAGCAGCCCTCCGACACCTCCCTCCTTCTCTGCCAGCTGCTGTGCTAGCCCTCCAGGGCCGGCGGCCTCTCCCTCACCCCAGCCACTCTTCGTAACCCTCCATACTTGCCTGCTTGGGGTTTTGACCTGCCGAGTATTTGAACACTTGGCTTTTGGGCGTCTATGCCCTCCTGGGTGCCCCACCGAGCTCTGGGCCGCGCTCAGTCCTCCCCTCAGCACCACGGTGCCGAACAGCCCCCCGTGTCCTGCCCACTCCCATCCTGCCAAGCTGCCTTATCACCTGCTTTGACACTTTTCTAAAGTAGTTGAGCTTGTCAGGATTTATAATAGGATGGGCCCTTTTTACTGAAAAAATACACTTTCTAAACCCAATTTTTAGATCAGCTCTTTCAACTGGATTTTCTTTTCCCTTTTCCTTCTCTATCCAGTTGCAGTTGTCTGCAGGCCTTTTGAGAACCGCTGTGTCATTGTGCTTGTTTTTTCAGTCTGCACACGACACCCCTCAGGATCGCTTTAGCCACTAGAGTCGCATTAAGATTGATCAGCTGCGCGTTCCGCTCGCTGACTTTCTCTGGCAAACCAGAGTCTTCGAATTAAATGACCATCCGTGCTGTGCTGAAGTATTCATTTGCAGGATTTGTGTTCCTGTCTTCCCTCAGAAGCACCTTGGATTTGATTTCACATTCTAGTTGTTCTTCCTGTTTAATAAGGTCAGTTCAGTGCGCCATAATCTGCTCCGGACAGCTGCAGGTTTAACTGATGTCACCTGGTGAGTCGCACCTGATGGAATGGCCAGTCGATCAACACGTTCTTTCTGCACAATCTAAATGAAACTTTGGGGTCAACTTGAACAGAGGAAATTCCGCCAGTGATGGAAAATTTAAAGCCCAACCTGTTCTTGGTCGATTGTACATAACCAAGTTATCCCAGCTCACAGGGAAATCCTGAGAATGTCAGTGCCTTTTGGAAGCAGCACTGTGTTTCTCAGGGCCTGAGAAATACTCAGCAATGGAAAAGTTCTAAATAATATCTTAGTGGACTGAAAAAAATCAGGCACTGTGTTTAGAGCATCTAAGTGATTATGCTCTGGAGAAGTTTACTTTATGTTAATCAGGGAAAATACGGAACAAAGTCTGGCAGGGACAGTGGGACCTTGAACACGTCTAGGCTACCTATGGTCAAATTACTAGCTGCCTTGTATAGGAATAATAAAGTGTTATTACTTGTGTTGGTGTCTTAATGGAAATATAAGTTAGAGTTTACTGAGACAGTGATGATACCTTTTCTGTTCAAGGTCCTTTTCCAAGATACCACTTTCCTCTTCTTTCAAGGCTCAGAAACAAATAATTGATTTTTTCTGCTTCGTTTAATTAACGTTCACGGAGGGATTGCCACACAGAGGATGCTATTACAGACCTGGGAGGTACAAATGTGAGTAACACAATGCTCTCTGTCGACGAGAAGGTAAGAACTTGGAGGTGGGGATTGATGGGTAGTTAATGCAGTGTGATTAGTGTAGGGGCACCTCTAATGCGGGTGAAGCCTGGGCAGTTCTGGGGCAGTGAGAATTCCTTGAAGCTGAGACTTTGAAAAGGGCGTCATCAAGAATGAGGCCAGAGATGTCGGTGGGTTGAGATGAGATGAGAAATTCCTTGTACGTTAAGCTGGAAGTTGGATTTGATCTTCTAGGCCATGGTTAGCCATTGAAAGATTTTAAGCAGAGGTGTAACGATCATCTAATTTTTCTTTTGAAAAATCATCCTGGCAGTAGTGTGGAGGATGGATTTAGGGCAGGGAGGAGCTGGGGGTGGGAAGACCAGCAGGAAAGGTACTGACAGACCCAGAAGAGAGATGGCGAGACTGTGGACGAGGCAGTGGTAGGGAGCGATGGGGAGAGACTGGGGTCGAGGATTAGAGGGAGTGTGAGAGCGGGTAGACACCTGGAGGGCAGAGGTGCGTGTGCGGAGCGCCCTGGGAACATCGAGTTGTTGGAAAGCCATTAGAAGGGGGGGAGGTACAATCTGGGGCCTCATCTGTGGAAGTGGATAGACTCTCCCTGGAAGAGAGCTTAGAGGAGGGAACAGCAGCAGTCATAAGACGAGGGGATAAAGAGGGATGAAGAAACCATACTGAGAGCAGCTGCAACAGAACAGAGCATACAGATGCCCCACTTGACCATGGTTTGACGCGGGATGTTTTGACGTAGTGTGGAGGTGATGCGCATTTCGTAGAAACCATGCTTCGAATTTTCTTCATAATAAAAATGGTTCCATGGCTAGAGTCTAAAAGTGTGAAAACGATCCCAGGGCGGAAGCTGCAGCCCAGCAGGGCACAGGGACTTGCTGAAGTCCCAGGTGACCGAGTGGCCCAGCGAAGCCCAGACCCAAGTTCCCTTCACATCCCGGCTCTTCCTGGGCTGCGGCTTTCAGATGCGTGTCATCGTCTGTCTGTGACTTACCACAACGGTCTCTGGAAATAAACAGCGTTTTCACTCTCCACTTCTGTCTTGCTTTCTTTAAGAGTGTCAGTGCATGCTACTGTTTAAACTGTTTTGTGTGATACGTGTGCAGAGTGAAGAACCAGCTTTGTGTACGGATGCACCGGATCTTGGAGCCGGAGGGCACTTTGGGGCCCGCCTGCGTTCTGCGAAGGCAGGTGCCAGGGCTAAGCCATGAGCCCTGCCAGGCGCGGAGCTTGTGCCACGGCCGGAAGCTCGTTGGGCTCTTGTTTCTCCTTCTTGTAAGTCTCGGAGGTGGGAGGGGCGGGCCCCCGGCTCAAGGTCACGCAGGTGTGTGGCAAGGTGACCATTCCCGGTGACAGCCCATCTCCTTGGCCGGCTCCCCCCCCACCCCCCACCCCCCGCACTGGCTCTGCTCCACTGTACTCAGCGGCCTGCTTCACGTCCACATCCGTCCTGGGGCGCCTGCGCGTGGCCTGTCCTTCCCGGCACGGACGCACCTACGTTCTTGCCACTCCTTTCAAATGCCGCCTCCCATTCACTCAGGCCCCGGCCCACAGCTGTCCGCAGAACGAACGGGTCCGGAGCCCCCTCCCAGCACCCTGCTTTCCTGCTCCCCGGCGCTGCGATGGGAGAAGAACGCCCACACCTCAGCGTCCGGGGTGGGGCGCGGCCCGGCTGCTCACCCTTCCCGCGGTGGGCTGTCCTCCCCACCGGGCACCCTCTTCCCGTGCACGTTCTGTTAGCACCACGCGTGCGGAGCATTCAGCCTAAACAAATGTGATGCGGATTTTTCCAGATCCCAGTAAAAAAGTCACGAATCGTTTCTAACAACAACCAGGGCCCAGTGGCCCAGACACATCCAGACCCCGTGATGACACCAGGTGACACTGAAGGCAAAGTGGATCCAGACCCAGGGTTTTCTGCTGCTAACTTCAGAGTCTTGTAGGTTTCCATGGTAACAGATACTGGTTTGGCAAAAACATGATACACTAATTTTCTTTCCTTTTTTAATGGGAAAGATTGCTGAGCCCTGCCCTGGACCGTTTTACTGGCGAAGGACACAAAAGAAGCTGCTGGCAGGCGAAGGAGCCGCCCGGGGCCTTCTTCTGGTGGGGCTTGCTCTGCACTTCCAACCTGCCCCCAGATTGCAGGTTGCTACCTTGTTTCCAAAAGCCAATGGCAAGCAAGACTCACTGTACAGAGAACAAACTAGTGGTTACCAGTGCTGGCGGGAGGGGCAATTTAGGGGAGGGGTGGGCGGAGCAAACTACTGGGTGTAAGACAGGCTACCAGGAGGTGTTGTGTAATACGGGGAGAAGCGCAAGCAACAAGCATGAAACAAAGCCCAAGTAGCGTCAGGACTCGTACACACTAAATTTTGTGATCCAGACTTCGGGTACTAAAAGCGTTTGAAGAAGGAAGAGATCTACAGGGGATATTAAAGAAGACGTACAGAAACTGTGACAAGCTGAGGCTGGATAGATGGGTACGATTTGGGAAATGGCTCGGGAGGAAGAAAGGTATTACCCGTGAAACAAGTCACCTCAGAGAAAGCCCAGAAGTATAAATGAACATGGTGCATTTGCGTATGGACAGAATATAGTTGGACCAGAGGAAAGGCATATATTGGGGAATTTAGAAGTTAAAGTGGGCAGTGGTGAAACAAACAAAAAAAGAGCTCATGAAACAAACAGTGGTTTAGTATGATGCTAGCTTTCATTTGGAGGAAATACTCTTTAAGGTTATAAAGCAAAGAAGTGACCTGGTTAAAGGGATATTTATGAAAGAGTAGGCTGACAGTAGCAAGGAGGCTGGATTTACATGGACATATCCCAGAGTTAGGAAGGGCAGCTATTAGACAATCTGGAAGATCCAGAACTGAGGGGATGAGGGCTTAGAATAAGGCAGTGGCAGTGGGGATGGGCAGGAAGGGACACTGAGAGTGACATGGGTGGATGAGGTAACCAATTACATGGGGGAGAGTGGGAAGTCTGCAGTGAAGATGATTAAATTTCTGAGGGTTTCTGATGAAGGGCAGATGGTGTTTTTGTGGTCAGAAGGCAGCTTGTTTGAGAAAAAGTTAATTTGAGGACATTAATTTTAAGGGGCTTAGCATTCCCTGTCCTTTTAGTGATTTACGTCATAGAAGCAAAAAATTAATTTAGTACTTATTTTTGTGAGAAGCTATTCTAAGTGATAATTTAAAATAACTGGCCCTCCTTCCCTAAAGGCTTACTTCAAGTTTGTATTATAATATATATATGTACAGAGATCATTAGTGAGAAGAGAGAATAATACAGAGGTGAAATACAGAAATACAATTTTATAACAACAAGTGCAAGTGAAGTTTTCGGTGCTTATATTGGGAGGGAAAGTGAGAAGACACTGAATTTCTGCTCTGTTCACATAGTATTACATCTAAACTTTGCCTAATTGTAAGCCTATTTTTCTTACTAGTAGGGAATCAATATTCATTGTAGAAACTTTAGAAAATACTTATGTATTTTATTTAATCAGGGATTATTCACTATAGTATTTAGCAATCTAGTTTTCTGCTTGATAAAATGGAATTGATTTTTTTTAATCATTAAATAATCTTCTCTGGCCTTTTTAGTGACTTTATAAGATCCTGTTATACTGATGCTTTATAATTTTTGCCAAGTATTCTATAGTTGGATGTTTAACTCACTATTAATCTTTTGTCATTTCAAATAATGCAAAGAACATTCTGACAGCTTAATCTTTGAATATATGCATGAATATTCCCTTAGCATAAGTTTCTGGAAATGGAATGCTATACAAATTTTAAGAGTTATAGCACCAAATTTCTCTCTTGAGAACGGGAATTATCTTTGCCAATGTAATAGGCAAAAATGTCATCTCATTTTTGAACTTGACTTTATCACATATTTAAAGGGACTTAGTATTTTTTTTATTTTTGAGTTATCTGTTCTTGTTTTTTGTCCATTTTGGGGGGATTATTTTTGTCCTTTTATTGTTTTGTAGAAGTTTTTTTTTTATCTATTAAGGGTATTAGCAGTATATATGTTGCAGACCCTTTTTAAAACTTTACCTCTAATTTTATTTTAAATATTTTTTTACCAAATTTCTCCACACAATAGTGCATGAGTTTCTGTGAATGAAAGGATAGAGGGAAGCAGGGATAGGAGACATGAAACTAAATGAGATTATTCTATCTTTTTTTGGTAAAGGGTTTTATCTTGGTGGGAGAAAAGTTCCATGCAGATTGTGATAGGAAATCAACATGAGATGAAAATTTTACCTATTTCATTCACTAGCAAATATTGTTCTATTCCACTTTAACAAGAAAATCACACACATTTGTGATTCTGATGTTCTTAGTAGATTTCAGTCCCTTCTTAGTCTTTCCATGACATTTGTTTTTGCTTTTTTTCTTCAAAAGTATTCTGATCGATGTCTAGTCATGGGCTAGTTTAGTCTCACCTGTGTTTCATCCTTACTTGTTGTATAATTTACCCTACTATCATTCATGCAAGGTTAGTTAGCTATTCTAGGGTCCATGGAAAGAAAAATGAGCTCATGAAATAAAATCTGGGAAATCCAAACTAACAATAATCAGTTGTAATACAACTGATTACTGTAATACAAATTTAGCTAAATTTTACTTTTACTGTACATCAAAATAATATGAACAAAACTATACCCTTAATAATCAGAGATTAAAGTTTATCCCTAGTCTTTTTATTTTCTTCATTATAATGAGATGAAACAAAATCTTCTTTAAACTTTAATCTTGCTCAGTTTAAGCCACTCCTGGTTAAGCAAATGTCATACATTTCATTTACAGGATTGCGTTTTCCCAGACACTTCACAGTTACACACTGAAATAGAAGGAGAAATGCTGTTTTGGTGCTTCTGCAATTTGTGTAGTGCTGTCTCATGATCTCTCCCTACTTTTAGTGGATTTTGTCTTTTTCCTAAACTCTTCTTAAAACCACTGTGGCCTTACGTACCTCCAAACTCTTCCAGAAACAAGGAATGCTTCTAATAAAAACAAAACATATGGTTTATAATCTCTTTTAAGAACATGAAATGCATAATCTTTGCCATAGGTTTATATTAAAGTTACGTGTTCAGAGTATTCCAACATCAAGTCCAAATACAGACTTGATTTTCCAGACTCGGCCCTGAAGTGAGGGAAAATTGACCATTTCCTACTGTTCTGCACTCACTGGGCCTTCTCTTGAACAACCTCTAAGCTAAGGTCACAAGAGGATGAGTTTTAGCAAAACTATTCTTTAGGATTGGATTGTTTGAGACTTGTGTGCGGTGAAGAAAATATCTTTCCTTGGAACAATATACTCTCTTTGGTGGCCCTGGAAGTCCAGCTGCTGAAGTAGGATTGAACAGGAACGAACAAATTTCATCTGGAGCAAATTATAGACACCTTTATTTCCTAATTAGAAAATGCATAATTGGGACAAATCATGTGACTGTAGGCAGAGATTTTTTTTGCACCACTAATTTTGCTTTAAACCATTCTTCAAATCTATTAGTCCAATAAATGTGACCAAAGTGTGTGGAAATCCCAGGTGCTTAGACCGACTGTCAGCCCATTCCTCTGATGGAAAGGATGCTGCTTCCTAGCTCTACACATCAGAAGAACACATTTCCTGCAGAAGTTCAATATTCTAGTCTGAATACTGGCCCTTGTAATTTGACAAAAGATGATAAAACTAGATGCTGAGAGCTACTTAGAATGGTTCTCAGTGGTGTCTGGCTTTTAATCCTGTCTCCATGGATTCTATTCTGTGGTTATCCAAGGCACCCAACATTATTGATAATGGGGGTAATAGAGATAAAAGCTTGAAATTAAAAGACTGAAATCCAATTCTGTTACTAACTATGTAACCTTAAGCAAGTCCTTAATCTCTCATAACTTCATAACTAAAATACAGATAAGTGTATTTAATTTTTGGATGGCTGGAATTGTTAGAAAAATTTTAAAGGTGTTATCATGCTTAGGGCAGTGTTTGATACCTAACAGA